TCTGGCTATGTAGCTGCCCCTTTCTTACTTTTTCTCTTCTTCTTTTAATGGAAAACTTCATATATCACTGGCTGCATTTTATGTTAGAAGTTGATTTTCAGTCCAACAATACTTATATACAGTACATAGTAACAACAACAATTGATGGAAAATACTTAATTTATCTATTTTACATAAACCTGTCTGGCAAAGTAACAAACTTCCCAGTAATGATTTTAGTCTCCCTTGGGCTTCTCCTACATATAGCAACTTGGAAAATCTGCACCGTTCTGGGTATTGTTTGCACCTGTGGCCAGACCATTTATACATCTGAGAGTTCCATGATACAGGGTGTGGAAGCCCAACTAACTTACTTCAGTAAATGGGGATACATGTGTTTCCAAATAAGAAAATTACCTCTTGAGGCAGTGTTACAGCAACAGAATAAAATCATGTCCTTAGCTTTAAACACATTTACAAAACACATTCTTTACCTTGGCAAGGACTCTTAATCAGTAGCGTTTGCTGTTACACTTTCCAAATTTTTTTTCTCAATTTCCATATTTTGTTAGCAAAGGCCTTTTCCTAGCTGTTTCTCAAAATGAGTGTAATTTGAAACTCTTAACTTCATTCTCATCCCACAGATAGGCTGGACAAAAGCATTGTGCATTGGATACTCTATTTACACATTACATGCAAGTAAGCATGGCAATAATGTAAAGAAACTGCCAGATCAATTTTCTCTAGGGCCCTATCTGAAAAATTCAAAACATTGCATCAGAATATCCTTAGCCCCTGCTTAGTTAGTCTCCAGTGTCTTGATATTATAATACTGTTATTTTGCCATCATTAAAAAAAAAAAATTAACCAGAAATACCAAACAAGCAAAAACACACACCCCACTTTTCCTCCCCCTATTAATTGTCTTCCAAAAAGAAACCCAAACAAAAATTCTTGTCATCTCCCTTCATGGAAACAACAAAATCCAGAATACTTATGTATATCTAGCAAAATTCAGCTGTCTTTTGAAGATATCCTACTTCAAATGATACTAACTTTATAACTTTGTTATATATATATATTACTATGTTATTACTATGTCAACAAGTTGTTTACTAACTTACTAACAATAGCAAAGCATTTTGTAGGAAAATAATCATTAAAATATAATCCAGTAAAACACAAACTGTGTCAAGATGCAATTCTGTTCATGCAGTCCAATACAGTGACCCTAGGAGAAGGGAAAAAGGCTCAAAACAAACTGAGCAAAAGAGGTCATGTATTTGAAATGCAAGTAGCTTTTGATCTTCCAAGGTTTAGGTTTTGTTTAATCAAACTAACTATCAGCCAGATTATTCCACATGCTCATGAACCACAACTTGAGCTATAACTCCAGTATTATAGTCCAACTATCCATAGCATTAGAACACCAAAATGCCAACAGAAGAAAAAATACCCAAAATTGCAGCATGGGATCAAAATATCTAAGTAGAAAACTTCTAAAGTATTTTTCCTTTGGTTGCTACATTAGTACCTTTATTATAATAGTGCCATGTATATAAATATATTCAGGGAAATTCTGAAAGGGTTTATTCTTATTTTGCTTCCTCAAGGTTATTTTCATACCAATGAGAAATATTTATGTAGAAAGTAGATTACCAACACGCTGAAAAAGGGTGCAACACAGAGGAGTGATTGGTCATCCAGATAGCTCAAACTTTCACCCAGGCTCCCATTCTCCCTTAACCTGATTACTGCTGGATGAATCATATTTCACTGTCAAAGCCCTTCGCAACCTGTCGCTAGCACCACCTTCATCTCTCATTCACCACAGAAATGCTGAACTGCCACTGTTAACTATATAGAGCCCATCTTTCACATTTTTAAAACAGCTTAGGGTCTTCTCCTGGGTTTTTTGCTTTTTGAGAGATATTTTCTGAAAAATTCCACAAAGCTGTCCCAGGATCTTCCTTCAAAATCAGTTTTGCTTTTTAATTTTTCCCCCCAGAACAGATGTTAAAGAATGTGACATTATTGCCAGGGGTGCTGACTAAGAAATAGATCAGCTAATCCAACTGCAGGTTGTCACTTCCATTCCACCAACACCATTTTTCAGCTGATCCAATAATAAGCTAATAAATAAAATAAAGAATAAACTTTAAAAACCCACCTCAAACAATTCCCCAAATCTATGATGGCCCTTGGCAAGTAGAGCTATGACAAGCTATGTCACTTAACTAGCTCAGTCCAGATTCAAATTACCATTTAAAGAACCTGAATGTGCACAAGTCTATATGACCTGGTCTGTGAGAAATGAAGAGAAAAAAAGATAGAAAATAAAAAATCAGTTAAAGGAATTATCATGCATACAAGTATATTATGGCATTAACTTATGAGGACATAAGACACTTCTAGAGATAAAAAAATGTGAAACATTTTGGAAAATATACCGTGTGTTTCATAGAAAAATTCTTTTGAATACTGAGGTTAAAAAAAATGGGCAGATGATTATCTCACCCTTGCCCTACTGCCCCCAATTTTTGTTAGGGCATTCTCAGCTCGCAAATGTTTAGAGGAGTGTTTTCAGAAGGTCTCAAAGCAGGCTATTCGACTAGGTCTCCCTATCACATACTTTGAAGATGATTCTTTTGTTTTTGGGGGGTGGGGGAGGGTGTCATGATTTTGGCTGGGATAGAGTTAATTTGACTTAGACGTGAGTACAATAGTGCATTTCGAATTTAGTATTAGAATAATGTTGGTAACACACTGATGTTTCAGTTGTTGCTAAATAGTGCTTAGCAAAAATCAAGGACTTTTCAGTTTTCCATGCTCTGTCAGGGAGGACGCCCATAAGGAACTGGGAGAGTGTGGCCAGGAGACAGTGACTCAAACTGGCCACAGGGATATTCCACACCACACATCATGCCCAGTAGATAAACTGGTGGGAGTTGGTCTGGAGGATGGGCTGGCATTGGCCAGTGAGCAGTTTTATTCTGCATCCCTTGTTTCTCTTGGGTTTTACTCCTCTCCCTCCTCTTCATTACTATTATCATCATCATTAGCATTATCAGTATTTTTATTCCTTTGTTTCAATTATTAAACTGTTCTTATTTCGCCCGCAATTCTCCTCCCCACCCTGCTGCTAGGCAGGGGAGGAGGGGGTGAGCCAGCGGCTGTGTGCTACTCAGTTGCCAGCTGGGGTTAAACCAGGGCAGGTTCCAACTCATGTAAAGCTGTGTTTTTAAATTTGCAACTAATTGGTCTGTACATCTCATGATCAATATTCACAAACGTTTCCGTCTGCCACAGTGAAAATAAAATTATCATTCCTCAGTCATATAACATTTATATTCATGAGCAGTAAGTAAATATTTAGATTTCAGTGTGAAGCTAGAGGCATCAGCTCTGTAACCACATGGGCAGTCCCTTAGGTACACTCGAATTACTTTTCTGAAGCATTCAAAAACAAACACACACTGCAGTTCTGCAAACACATGGATTTTATATAGCACAGCAATACCTCAGATCAGCAGATGACATTGCAAAATAGAAACACTGGGATACTGACCCTCTGTGCTTTCCTTAAGCCAAGCCTTCAATTTAAAATGCTCTCTACTACATAAGAAAAAAGTTGCTCAAATGACAAAGTCTTCTATGAAAAATTCCACAACTAGGAAGAGATCATTTGAATTAATACGCATACAGAGTGAAAATACTGGACAACTGTTTATAATCTTCTTTTTATCTTTAGCAAAGGTGAAAGAACATTAGCTATACACCTGCAATCACATACTGCTAGGAAAAAAATGAATGCCTGAAAGACCCACAGCATTATTGGAAACTTTTGAGATGTTCAATTTAAAACCAATAAATATTTTCACAACAAAAAGCAGTTTTCAACTTGAGTAGGGAGCAACTATGACACCAATACTGATGAAGAAACAGGAGGCCTGAGGACAGCAAAGAATTGCTAAAATGCATGTGCATCCACTACATTTTATAGGTTTTACTTTAAATAATTCTCAAAACTGAGAAAGTTAAAGCAAGATTAAATGTGTAACAGGAAGGTTACAAAACAGATCCCATAATTTTGAACTCTCCAGGTATGGATTAATCTTTTAAAGAAGAGAAGAAAACCCAGTGCTGAAACAACCGAGTCACGCTTCGCACCAGCAGAAAGTAGCTCAAGGACCAAAGGGTCACACTCGCAACACCATGAAGTGTCAAAAGTTTCTTTTTTTCCAGGTCGCCAGCAGTACCACGCCAGACTAATAACACGTATATACGCTGGCAAGGCCAAAAAAAAGTTCGCATATCACACAAACCTTGCCGAGAAGCATTTACAATCGATAAACTGAGAAAGAATAAAAAGCGGTTTTAAAACGACCTCAGTCCCAAAGCCTGGCCAGCCCTTTTACCCCTCTACCGCGGGGGTGAAACAGGAGGGCAGTGACCCCTGTCAGCACTTTGGCCCCCGCGGGTCCTGCCCGGCCCCGCCGCGGCTTAAGCAGCGGGCACAGACCGAGGGCAGCCCCAGCTCGCCTCCGCTCTGCCGAGACACCGAGGGGGACGGGCGGGGACCGAGGGGAAGCAAAGGGAACCAGGCCAGCCCCCGCCGCCCCCAGGGCGGCAGACCAGGCAGCAGAACCGACAAGAGCAGCAACCACAGCGACAGCAGAAGGGAGGCCGGAAGGGAAGGGGCGGGGAGGAAAGGGCGGATCCTTATCCGGGCTGGCCCCGCTCCCTGCCGCGCTCACTCACCGATCATGGCGGCGGCCGCGGCCACGCGAGAGGACAGCGGCGACGCATGCATGCACGCGCGCGCACGTGCCGGCCGCGCCCGCCGCACCAGCACTTCCCCTGCCGCAGCCGTGGGGGGGCTGCGCGAATGTGGCCAGGGTGGGCCGGCCCTAAACGCGCATGCGCCTCAGCGAGGGAGGTGGAGGCGCACGCTGGGCTCTCTGGGTAGCGTAGTCCCTTGACAGCTCACACCCGCACCGGCTCTTCGCACTTCATCGCCTCACATTTCCCCCACGCACCGCTAATGACTTTCTCGTTAATTGCTGTCCGCCGCCCCGGTGTACGGTGCACCGGGGGTAGGTACAGCTGTGCGGGACCGGGCGGTGCCGACGGGGTTATCTGTGATTCCCGTCCCACTTCCCCGGCCGGTTGTTGACGCGTTGCCTGGCGACGGCAGCTTGGCCGGGGGACCGCGCGTGGCGGCAGGTGCCCAACGGAGCCCGAGAGGGACCCGCAGGGCCGGAGCCGCAGGGGAGGCAACGGCGGGCGGGCGGGCGGGCGGGCAGGGGCGAGGACTCCCCGGGGGACAAGGACATCAGGTGGTGATGAGGGGCTGGACACGGCGGAGGGAGGGGGACGAGCTGGGGTGGTGATGCAGAACGGGACTTAGTGCAGGGGCGAGAGGCAGGCAGAGGGGGTCTGTGAGGGGCAGGGAAGGCGGAGGACGGCTGTGTGAGGGGGTCGCTGGATGTGGAGTGGAGGGAGCGAGGCTGCACCTGCTGCCTGCCCTAACTCGCCGGGCACGGGGCGCTGATGTTCCCTTGTTTTTTCCAGTCCGTTATTTGCATCTGGTCCGCCGTGGGCGCCGGTGGGGAAATGGTAATGGAGGAGGGACGTCCGGGCCCCTCAAAACCCGCCGGTGACAGGCGGCCCCAGAAGCGGGAGAAGAAGGACAAGCAGCACGACAAGCAACAGCCCTGCGAGGGTTTCAGTATTAAAGCCATGATGAAAAACAGCGTGGTATGTTTGCTGCTAGCATAGAGGTGATAGTAATTAACTCAACTTGTCCAAGAGGCGTAGCAAGTTAGAGCTGTGGATAAAACATGTCAGGAAGGTGTGCAAGTTGTTAATACCTTATCTGGAGTTTGCTGGTTGCTGAAATTACCCTCAGGCTTTGCAGAAGTATTACCGCAAGGTAACTCTCTGTGCCTGTGAGAGTTGTGATGCTTTTGCTAAGCACTTTAATTTGGTGCCACAAGTTTTTTTGGCTTTTTTTTTTTTTAGTTTTATTTTTTTATGGTTTTGTATTGGCAGCGCACAGCCTGTTAAACTGAAAGCTTATATGGAATTGTGTGTGAGGCTTACTGCCTCCCACTTAACAAAATGCTGTCAAGTGGTAGTGCAGTATTTCTCAAAAGTTTCAGTACACTGGCATAGTGTATGAAATTGATGTGAATGTCACATAGGATGGTCACATAGGAGATCTAAAAAATAGATTAATAGATTTTTTTAAACAAGCTTAGAAAATAATGAAAAGCTTCCGCACTATCTAGGAGAATACTAAACAAACAAACATTAGTTCTCCAACTTGCAGTTCAAAGACTGGGAAATTGATCCAACAAGTAACAGTTACAATTTCTAATGAACTTGGAGGCTTGGGAGTTAAAATAGTGGTATAAAGGCCCTTCAAATCTCTTTATACTGTTTTATTTGTGTACCTTTATCAGAATTTAGGAGTTAAAAAGCTTCAACTAGTACAGAGTACAGATGTTCAACATGTGAGTGGATGAGGTAATATTACCATAGGTCTCTGCCTAAACTCCTGGATTGTATTCTTCATTTGGACATAGTTCAAAGTGTTAGCAAAGGCTTGAGTCCTCAAGGGTTTTTTTTCAAATCTATAGAGTATTCTGACAGCTGTTATGAAATACATTATTTCCCTTTGTTTTGCTGAAGTGGTCTTTCTGGTGCAGTCTCTCTTATCTGCAGGATCATCCTCTTAAAAACCCAAGCAAGCATGTCTTTAAAGAAATTTTAAATAGAGTGAAAGTTGCAAAAACTTTCTCCTAATTACTAAAACTACAACATATTTCACCTTAATTGGAAAAAACCAAGGTGAACACAACTAAATAATCTCTTTGTTTTAAAGATTGTTTGATTTGTTTGTTTTTATTCTAGCAATGCATGGAATGAACTGTAATACTTCAGCAACCTTTAGGATTAATTTTTAAAATATGTTTCCTGTTCTCTGAAAAAAATTCAAGTAATGGATATTTGGTTGTTTACACCTAGATATGTAAAAGACAATTTTGTCTAGAAGAATCAGCCATTTCAGTAGAGTTTGAGAAATACATATTTAATTTTAAAAAAGGAGCTGTGACTTGTGAAAATAACTAACTATGAGTTTAATCAGAAATCAGGTTTGCTTTTAAATATTTATAGAATATTAACTTTTATGGCTGCATTTCTAACTTCCTGAACATGAACAGACCATTAAATCATGTGATACTGCCATTAAGCAACTGCATACAGGTAAATCTTCTGCCTTTGCAGCTACTCACAGAATAACAGAAATTATTTTTTTTGTCATGGACATCTGGAAATCATCTAACCCAACTTCCCACTTGAAGTGGCCCTGTCACCAGCGCCCAGATCAGGTCAATGATGGTTTTTCCTAGCTAAACTGTGAAACCTCCCAACATCAGGGATTGCCTGACCTCTCTGAGCTACCTGTTTCATTTCTGCCCTGCTTGTCTGCCCCCTTGCTTGCCCTCTCAGCCTTTCAGAGCTCAGGTTTACAGTGTTCAGACCTGCTGCACACGTTCTACTCATAACTGCATTGGAAGCTCTGAAACTCTTAGTGGTCTTGGGAGATTCATAGTGCCAGGGCTATGTTTTGAAAAAGCTCCATCTGCAGTCAGGCAGCCACCAGAATATTTTCCAGTTGGTGTGCAAAAAAAGGAATATCTCACTGCCTCGCTGTCTGTGCAGAAGTGGGACTTCCTTTTTACTTTTCCAACTACCTTTTAATTGGAGCTTTAGATTTATTAAGTACTCACTTGTCAGAGGTTGACATCTTTGATGAAGTTCTCATGGAAGGCTTGGGAGTTGACTGGAGGGTTGAAAGCACAGCAGGAATATCTGGTTACAACATGGTAATTCTTTTTGTTAACAGCGTGATAAGGCACAGGGTTAAACGTGTTTGGCATCTCCAGGTCAAACAATGAAGTATTGATTAATAGCCTTTGGTGCAAGCATGTAGTTAGTCTTAAACTCTTAGTGTAGTCTTAACAGATTACCATTATGCATATATGACTGTAAATATTGTAGTAAGTGTTCCAGAATTCTTTATGTTGCTTGGGCAAAGAGTGTTTTACTAAGCTGTTTTTCATGAATGTTTCTGAATAAAGTCTACTTTCATAGTCAGTAGTAAGTGCAGAAATTAAGTAGATACAGTATTTAAGACTTTTCTCAGCTCTCACTAAATCCAAAACTCACTTAGTGAAATGCAATGCTTAAATATTCACCTGAATAAAAATGTTCCTGAACGGAATTAAGGGTTTAAGTTATTCCAAAACTGTAAATTTATATAGCCATTTATTTTAAAAGCAAGGTTCAATAAAGGTCTTCTATAATAACAAGCTGCATTTACATTTTAATTGTTTTGTCCTCCAGTGGAATCAAGCATGTTATGTGCTCTTACTTCAGAGGTACTGCATGTAGAATTAGGAACACAATTAAAAATAAATGTATAGACTGGCCAGTATAGAAGCGTCTGAATGTGAATGTGGACAGCAGGAAGATATCTCAGTTCACTTCTGATTCTCTCTAGATGATATTTTCCTATTTTCTGCAATGAAAGAGAACAGAATAAAGTGTCCCACTTTTCTGTAATGCACCAGTGGTAAAAGCACTTTTTCAAGGACAGAATTCATTTTAGTACTTAAAGGAAACAGTAGAAAGATAATTCCTATCTATCTCCCAATTTTACCAGATTACTATTACATTCATGTGTTCCATGACATCAGTCAGAATTTGCCTTCAGGAACAGGCCACAGGGATAGAATGAGAGCGTTTACTAGATGGCCTTAGAAAGGAAGGGATGCTAAAAATTGTTTCTGGATTTCTAAAACCAAAGCATCTATTCAACCTTAGAGAGTCTTTGCTATGTATAGGGCACAGCTTTCATCTCCTAAAAAAAGCGTAATTGCTCTTAAGCAGAAAAATCATTATTTGTATTGCAGCTCTGGATTTTCACTCTTCTGTTCTGCATTTAGGAGTCTGCAGTCTGTATGTATGGGGACGAGTTCTCAATCTTTGTACTTTAAACACTTCTCTCAAGCCATTTTCAATAATGTGTGTTGTGAAGGGCTTTCTTACCCTTTACCATTTGATAATAACTCATAGCAAAAGTTTCATTTTAACCATGATGTGATTTGTTTATGTTCTGAGGTTTGTGATTTGTCATTATATTTATATTCATCCACACTGCATAACCAAGACTACTTTTGTTATTTACCTTGTAGCAGTCGAAGTTTCTGATTTGATTTTGAGGCTATAAGAAAGAATAGGAGAAAGAAGTTGTATCTTTTGATCATAACAGCTAATGTATTGGAAAAAGCAGTGTGTTTTGGGGCATATAGATGTCAAGTTAAAGGAGTGTTTTGATAAATATATATTGAGAAGTAGTACATCTGTCTTGGAGGAACTTCTCCAGTTTAACAATAGCGATTGTGTACAATCTACAAGTACACTTCAGTGAACACTGTGAGACAATTTAAACTGTCAGTACTCTGGAAGGCAATCCTATCTTCTTCCTCTCTCAGGCTGTTTAGTGCTGCTGCCTGTTGTTGTGTCCTCATTTGTACAATGTTGAATGCTCATAGAACTGATCCTGCTGAAAGTACTCCAGCCTGTTAAAGCTCACAGTGTTGAACTGCTGTCTGTAGGATTGAGGCAAGCAAGGCTTCTGCTTTAACAAGGCTCATCTGTTTTGCCCTTCTCCCTGTCCTGACTGCATGCTTCTATCTCTCCTTTTGCACTGATATTGTTTTTTCTATATTTATAGAGTAAATTGGATCAGCTGTAACAGCTCTTAAAGAGTTAATATATGCAATGAGAAGGGAAGCGGGAGAGTGTCAGCGCAAGCTGTGTGTTGGGGAATGAACCCTCTTGGCAACATTGCAGTCTTAATTCACTTAAAACCAGTATGACACCAAGTTCTAGCAGGGTAATTCCACAAGCATTTACAGCAGCATAAACTTGCAGCACAATTGAAAGGTGTTTTTCTCATCCCTGAACATTTATTCTTTGTGCAATATGAACTTTTGTGTGGCTTTGCAGCGAACTGGACGGGGGCCCTGGTTAAACCTTGATTAAAAGCAGCTCAACATTTTTTTTTAATCTTTAATAGCATTTTAATAGACTTGACATAGACTTATATGTGAACTTATAACAGTATAAGCTCACAAAAGTTGTCACTGCTACAGCCCTGCCTGTGTCTGCTGCCTGTTTGTACCTTCTCGTTTGTGCCAGTACACAGTCATCCCTCTGGATTAATGAGGCACTTCAGTTTCATTAGGTTCAAACATGAAAAGCTCCAACACAAGGAGGTTTTTATTTCCTCTCATAAGGTTAGATTCCTTTACAATTGCATGCTCATATTTACTGTAATGACCACTTTGATAGTATAATGTAAATGCAGAATATACAGAAGAAATAGGAATGCTTAAGACCATAATTTCCTCAGAAAGCTTCTATTTCATGTTGTGTTTTCAGCCATAACCTAGATGACTTAATCATACTGCTCTTATTTTAAAATACCTTAAAGTCAGCACTTTATTTTTGTGAATGTGATGAAAGGTTGGTATTGTTCATAGTTGCAGTGAGGATGAAAAGAGCAGTTTCTTACCAAAATCATTAAGAAATCATGCTGCTTCATTTATGCAAATTTGTTAAGCATTTGAATCTCTAGTAAATCTTCTCTTCTAATTCAGTCATATGACTTGAAATAGTTAATA